GAAAAAACCTAATCTGAACCTTTAGCTAGAACTTTAACTGTGTGACGTGTACTTAACTTCACCGGGACAGGACTGTTTTTATTTGACTGTTTATGAGTCAGCAATGTCAGATCCAGCAACAATTGACTGTTAGGGGACCCATACTGCCGTACATGTAACCATTTAACACCACCCCCCTCATCTATCCTACCCTCTCACCCTCACTGCATTCCAGAGGGGTTAATCTCTCCTACTCTCTCACTCTCACTGCACTCCAGAGGGGTTAATCTCTCCTACTCTCTCACTCTCACTGCACTCCAGAGGGGTTAATCTCTCCTACTCTCTCACTCTCACTGCATTCCAGAGGGGTTAATCTCTCCTACTCTCTCACTCTCACTGCACTCCAGAGGGGTTAATCTCTCCTACTCTCTCACTCTCACTGCATTCCAGAGGGGTTAATCTCTCCTACTCTCTCACTCTCACTGCACTCCAGAGGGGTTAATCTCTCCTACTCTCTCACTCTCACTGCATTCCAGAGGGGTTAATCTCTCCTACTCTCTCACTCTCACTGCATTCCAGAGGGGTTAATCTCTCCTACTCTCTCACTCTCACTGCATTCCAGAGGGGTCCCTAAACCAACAAAGACCCCACATCAAATAGCCAGGCCCATGGCTGGGGGAAGCAGGTCGCCCACACACACACACACACACACACACACACACACACACACACACCAACAGCATCAGCATCCGGACAGGAGGTGATTTCACTGTGTGAGTAACAGTTGGTTGAGTCTCAGTCTGTGTCTGTTTGTGAGTCCTGCTGAGTCTCAACCTGTCTCTGTCTATGAGTCCTGCTGAGTCTCAGTCTGTCTCTGTCTATGTGTCCTACTGAGTCTCAACCTGTCTCTGTCTATGAGTCCTGCTGAGTCTCAGTATGTCTCTGTCTATGAGTCCTGCTGAGTATCAACCTGTCTCTGTCTATGAGTCCTGCTGAGTCTCAGTCTGTCTCTGTCTATGTGTCCTACTGAGTCTCAACCTGTCTCTGTCTATGAGTCCTGCTGAGTCTCAGTATGTCTCTGTCTATGAGTCCTGCTGAGTATCAACCTGTCTCTGTCTATGAGTCCTGCTGAGTCTCAGTATGTCTCTGTCTATGAGTCCTGCTGAGTATCAACCTGTCTCTGTCTATGAGTCCTGCTGAGTCTCAGTCTGTCTCTGTCTATGTGTCCTACTGAGTCTCAACCTGTCTCTGTCTATGAGTCCTGCTGAGTCTCAGTCTGTCTCTGTCTATGAGTCCTGCTGAGTATCAACCTGTCTCTGTCTATGAGTCCTGCTGAGTCTCAGTCTGTCTCTGTCTATGAGTTCTGCTGAGTCTCAACCTGTCTCTGTCTATGAGTCCTGCTGAGTCTCAGTCTGTCTCTGTCTATGTGTCCTACTGAGTCTCAACCTGTCTCTGTCTATGAGTCCTGCTGAGTCTCCGCCTGTCTCTGTTTATGAGTCCTGCTGAGTCTCAACCTGTCTCTGTCTATGAGTCCTGCTGAGTCTCAACCTGTCTCTGTCTATGAGTCCTGCTGAGTCTCAGTCTGTCTCTGTCTATGAGTTCTGCTGAGTCTCAACCTGTCTCTGTCTATGAGCTGCTGAGTCTCAACCTGTCTCTGTCTATGAGTCCTGCTGAGTCTTAGTCTGTCTCTGTCTATGAGTCCTGCTGAGTCTCAACCTGTCTCTGTCTATGAGTCCTGCTGAGTCTCAACCTGTCACTGTCTATGAGTTCTGCTGACTCTCAGTCTGTCTCTGTCTATGAGTCCTGCTGAGTCTTAACCTGTCTCTGTCTATGAGTCCTGCTGAGTCTCAACCTGTCTCTGTCTATGAGGGCTGCTGAGGCCATAAACCAAATCATTAAGCCAGACGATGTTATGTTACACAGCACCACAGCATTGTTGTATAGCCACAGGGTATTTACTGTAGGGGCTGGTCTGAGCTCTACATGAGCTCTGTGGGGTGTTGGTATTCAGAGGTGCTCAGTGGTGGAAGTATTAAGTGTTCTAGTATTGTTGCACACGTGTGTGTGTTTGTGTTTGTGTGTGTGTGTGTGTGTGTGTGTGTGTGTGTGTGTGTGTGTGTGTGTGTGTGCATGCATGCGCGTTTGTGTGTGTTTATGTGTTTGTGTGTGTGTGTGTGTGTGTGTGTGTGTGTTTGTGTGCGCCCGCACTTGTGTGTGTGCGCGCGTATTCAGGAGTGGTAGTAGAGTTGCTCATATGTTACAGTAGTAGTAAACGTCTCTGAACGTGCCATCTGTTGGCTGTGTTACTAATGCTGTGGTGGTGTAGTGGAATGATGCGTTGTACTCTCAGATCAGGTGTCCCAACTACATCTGCTCCCTCAAAGGCTTCCTGTTCCTGTTCCTGGCTAGTGTGCAGCAGGTTCATGTACCCCCCCCCCCCCCCCCCCCCCCCCCCCCCCCCCACCCACCCACTGTAACTAGCCACTTAGTAATGTCTGATTGATCTGTCAGAGAGCCTGATGTGGTCCTGTCATCATAACTACGTAGTCTTATATGTGCAGATTACTGTAGATCGAAGGAGAACAGCTGTGGATATACTAGATTACTGTAGATCGAAGGAGAACACTTGTGGATATACTAGATTACTGTAGATCGAAGGAGAACAGCTGTGGATACACTAGATTACTGTAGATCGAAGCAGAACAGCTGTGGATATACTAGATTACTGTAGATCGAAGCAGAACAGCTGTGGATACACTAGCCTTGTAGCTGGGTAGCCAGATCTGCTTGTGATTTTGCCAGCTATTATGTCATTGGCATGAACACATGTTGAGATGATTTATGGAAAGAGAAAATGTTCTTAAGAAGTTCAGAGTAAACTTAAGTTACTTAGGAAATTACATAAGAGGGAACAATTCAGAACGCTTGCAAGGGCGGCTGAACATCCTTAAGGTGACCCTTGGCCAGGATACAGGTGCTCTGGTTGAAAGGAGTAGCTGAAGCATGGGGGGAAGGAGGGAGGAGAGGAGGGGTGAAAGGGAGGGGGGGTGGGGAATGGAACACAAATATTATCCTTTCTATAATTACAGCCAGTGACTGAAAGGCCAAAAGGACACAGTAGTGTTGTCGTCCCAGATCGGTCTCTCTTTTTAAATAGCATTACAATGTGAAGCCATACTGACACACTCAACACAGGAAGTTAACCAGATAGCTATAATAATGGTGACCTTAACTATCAAGGTGAAGCCTAGGCCATTAGTATAGAAATGTTATTAACCTATAATAACAGATAGGAGCAGCTTAAGGTAAAAAACGTATTTTAACCACCTCAGATATTGAATAAGATGACCTTCTTCCAATCCAAAACAACTGACCCTAAACTGACATTAGATCAGTGTCTAGAGGTAACTTTGTTGCATCATGATTCTGAGTTTAAAACACTCATCAGTGTATAGATAGCAGCTGATATGGATATGAGCTATAGGCTGCGTTTACACAGGCAGCCCAATTCTGATCTTTTGCCCAATTATTGGAAAAAGATCTGATCTGATTGGTCAAAGGCCCAGTTAGTGAAATAAATATCAGAATTGTTCTGCCTGTGTAAATGCAGCCTTAGTGACACAGAGAAAGCATAATACAATGACTTCGGGAAATGTGAGAAAAAAATGCTTTATTCATTTTCTGAAAAAAACAACAACCTTTTGACTAGAAATCCCTTCAAAACTGCAGGTTGTTTCCAGGATGTTTTTCTAGAGGAGGGTTATTAGTTTTTTAAAAGCCTGAACACTTGAATGAATTCACATTTCAACATGATCTTAGCATGGATCTCAGTGGGTATTATAGTACAGTAAATCACTGAGTATATCCCTAACCACACCCACCATGCTAAAACAACACAACTAACTGGCATGGTAACAGAAATAAATAACAAAAATTGGAGATACCATTTTTGGAGATTTATGTCCAACTCGTTTCTCAAAGACAATAAAAACTACACCATTTGTGTGTTTCTACCTTCCAACACTCGATACAATGTCGGGACTCAACAAGGCACCAGCGTTTGCCTTGTATCTATTCCACATCCTCAATGTAATACAGACAATTTAAACTGGATTCTAGATTATAAACATTCTAGAATATTTCCTATATTCTATATTTTGGGATTCTAGAGTAGAGTAGGTTCTATTCAATTCACTTCTATGTCTGGATGTTTTGTATGGCTTCTTTACAGAGTCAAACACAGAAGACCAATGCAACCACGTCATAATGGTACACACAAAGAGACCTGTCAGTGGTACATTGGTATAGTACACCACACTGCTGTTGAATGAATCAACCAACCCACCAATCACAGTGGTCTGTGTTTTCAGCAGCCTGTACACAGAGTGCTGATATCACAGTCAGCAATCAGGTAGCCCTATGAGACCAAGAGGACTCTTACTTTGAAATGTCTATTTCTCCAAAAGTACTGTACATTTTTTATTCCTTTTATCTTAATTCTCATCAATAAATATGATCTAACATTTAAATATAAAAACACAATGATGACCTTATAGATAATCTTTACAAACGGGCAGTGCATCTTTGGGTGGACGAAGCAGTTAAAAATCTGCATAAATACAGCAACAACATCACATCAATAAATAAATTAAAAGACAAATATATGGTATAAATAAAAGTTTTACAGTACGCTAGAAAACGACAATGATCGAACATGTGCAGGAAAATACAAATGCTGATTGGTAAAAACAACACTCCTTTTGAAGAAAGACCAGGGTTCTCTCTGTTTCTGGCAGAAGAAGAGAAGATGGTGTCCTTTTAGTCTGAGACTCCTGGTAGTCTTTTTTAACACAGCCAAGAAGCAGCACTGAATTCAGGGACGTCTCCACAAAGCATCTCAGATAGGAGTGCTGATCCAGGGTCAGTGCATATAATGTTATTAATTATGATCTAAAGGCAAAACTGATCCTGGATCAGCTCTCCTACTCCGAGACTCTTTGTGGATACGGGCACAGAAATGTTCCTCCTCTTCCTCTCAGCTTCCATATCCTCATCACCACTCCAGTCTTTTCTCCCAGCCAGTCAGAGTTCCAGTTTTAGGCAGGCTCTCTCCTGATAGGTTGCAGGGCCTACAGCAGAATCTTGAGCTACCCAATCACATCTGTCCATCAGTGAGAAGGGGTGGGGCTATGTGTCCAGGTCACACCCATCCAGTCCCCCTCTCTGCCATACCTTCCAAGTCTCTCTGGGTTCTCTCTTGGCTTTTTTTCACTTCTTCTTTTCTATTTTGAGGTAGAATTTCCCTATCCTGTCCTGAAATAGAGGGAGAAACAATGAGCGATCAGTTTCCTTCAACACTCAGACCGTGTGAAAACAAAACCCAGACTAATCTTTCATCAATCTAAATCCAGCCTCTGTTTCACAATCCTACTGTAATGTATAGTAAAGTTATGATAACATTTTACTTTCTGTCTGACTCCTATCAATTTAGGAGGGGATCTAACATTTCAGTTCAGGACTTGAAAAGAGAGGATTTTCTCTGAGGAGTTTGGGGTTTCGTGCTTCTACACCTGCATTACTAGCTGTTTGGGGTTTTAGGCTGGGTTTCTGTACAGCACTTCGAGATATCAGCTGATGTACGAAGGGCTATATAAAATAAAATTGATTGATTGATTGATTGATTGAACTCACCCTTCGCTCCAGCTCTTCAGTGGTTGGGCGCTGACCCCAGTTTCACCTTCTCCTCATTCTCTATGTCGTACGCTCCTCGCTTGTGAAACCTGGAGGAAAACAACAACAGGGTTAAGACCTGTGGATCCTGGAACTGTTTTGGAACAATAACAACATCAACAACAAGAACAACATCTGTGGTTCCCATAATTATTGTGAGGTGAGAACAATAACGCTAAACTATGACCATGCTGAACTATGACCATGCTGAACTATCCTGTCATATGTTTTTTATAGCCTCATCTCCCTTTCTCCTACAATCAATTAGGTTGTGTACAATTCATTTCCTGTTGGCCCATTTCCACAATACAGTGCCAATACTGACTTTGTCAATCTCCAGCTGATGCATAATGCAATGTGTAATGTGTCATACAGCTGCTCTGGTTCTATACACCCCCCTGTGTTAGATAATATGCCAGGAAGTAGTGGTAAAAAAGTGGGTCAACTGGTGTGTGTGTGTGTGTGTGTGTGTGTGTGTGTGTGTGTGTGTGTGTGTGTTAAGGCTGTTGTACTGACCTGAGCACCAGCAGCAGGCCTATGATGGTGAGACAGAGAGAGGACAACACCACTGCCACCACAGCCAGAGCTGTGGTCCTGCTGTAGCCTCCCACGTCCCTCCCCTCTGAAGCCAGCGTGAACAGGTGACACCGCTCCCCAGAGTAACTGGGACGACATCTGCACAAGGAGAAAGAGAGAGAGAGAGAGAGAGAGAGAGAGAGAGAGGGAGAGGGGTGAGATATGATTCATGCAACATACAGTACAAAAGGCATATTGTTCTTCTGGAGAGATAGAGATGGAGATAGAGAGAAAGAGAGCGACAGCGAAAGTTAGAGAAAGAGAGAGAGAGATAGAGTGAGAGACAGAGATAGAGAGAAAGAAAGAGAGATAGAGAGGTGTTTCTTACATGCATGACGGAGCTTTGATGTCCCTCAGGTAATGACAGGTGCCATGGATACAGAAGTCCTTATACTTCTTCAGACAAGGGTTCCTCTTATTCCCCTTTCCCTTCTTCCTCCCCTTTCCTCTCCTCCTCTTCCTCTCAGCTTCCAAGATGGACCGATGGGTCTTTAGGTTTAGTCGACAATGCAACTAAAAAAGAAAAGAACACAGACAAGAAAGGTTAATCAACTGATTCCATGGATCTAGCCAACACATCTCATAGAATACATGTTTTATTGTCACATACACCAGATAGGTGCAGTGAAATATGTTGTTTCACTGGGTCAGCCATAGTAGTGTGGCTCCCCTGGAGCAAATTAGGGTTAAGTGCCTTGCTCAAGGGCACATCGACAGATTTGTCACCTTGTCGGCTCAGGTATTCGAACCAGCGAGCTTTCGGTTACTGGCCCAACGCTCTAACCGCTAGGCTACCTGGTTCGATACAGTCAATTTAACTAGGGGTTACATAGGAACAGGTGTTAAAATGGAACTGACTGACAACCTGCCAGATAAACTCATGGATAATAGTGTAATAAATCATGTTTATAAAGGGTATTCTAACAAATGTGTCAGTGAGGATTCCAGAACCTATAAACAATAGGAGGAGGATTTACAACAGAGCAATAAACAAACATAAATCACAGTGAGTTATTAAATACCTCGAGGTAATTCCACCTCATAGTCCCCTGAGGCATCTTCTTCATCTTCATGGTAGTAATCATAGTACTCCTCATCCTCCAACACTGGACCCTCCACGCCGTGGTTACTCTCCTCCATCCCTCCCTCCATCCTTCTGTCGCTCAGGACATCCAACAGGTTGATAACTGCCGTGTGCTGCTGCGGCCTCTCACTCTCATACCTGTCCACCACAGCTCCACTCACCAACGTCGACACCACTGGAAAACACAAGGAAACACAAGATTAACATTTTGATTGATGCTACACCATTCAGTAGTCTGTGATTTAGAGATGTAGACTAGATTCTGACTGGCACTGTGAGGAGTTAACCCAGTGAGCAACACTGGTTGAAAATACATAATTTCAATGGCAAAACTGGTTGAAATGACATCTTTTCAAGCACTTTTGCTCACTGGGAACAAAAGCTTTACTTTCCAACACAGTAATTAATTCAGGTGCCAAGAAAATGGAGGAGTTTGAGTGGGCAAGTTGAAACATGTCTCTAGACTGACAGCCCTGCATGAGGCCCCATGGCCCCTCCAGGTGAGCCTATAAAACTGGATAGTTGCATTTCAGCTCCAAGAACTGTGAGGCACCCAACAACTTCATGCATGTACAGTATTCTGTACTGGGGAGACTATAATCCTGCTTGGCTATGGTACACAAAATGTTGCATAGACAGACAGTTAGCTAATGTACAAGAATATGAGTTAAAAATAAGTATATCCAGTTACATAAAGCATGTTTTAAAATAGAAAGATGACCATACTTCGTTCTTGAATAGCATAGGCTGGCCTCCACCTTATGAAAATCGTTGACTCTTCTTTTAAAAGTTTATGAGATGTGCTCAGAAGGTCATGCTAGAGAAGTTCACACTTTTTTACAGTCAACAAGTGTAACTCCAATACCTGTCTCTTATGAATATGAAAATGACCACTTAGGAGGAATCAAGTCTAGGATAAACTATTACCACCAATAGTTTTTTCAATGTTAAAGTATAAACGCTACAGAAAAGGAACTATATAATCTGACTTGAGATATAAAAGTGTAACTTGATACTTACCAAAGGCATGGACGAGCAGGAGCGCAACTCGTAGAATCCTCATATCTTCAAACTTCAAATCACCACCAACTGTAATTCTGCAAAAAATCAGTGTATGTCGTTTTCCTTTATCTTGTCCACGTACTCGATATTGCTACTCTTAAAAAGTTCCTGGTAGGTCTATTCCTTCCGTTCTCAGTGCGACTTTATTATTCAAGATGCCGGGCGCGTCTCGGGTAGCGGTGGCACACACAAACACAGCCTTTGCAGAGTGGGGACGAGTAGAACGAGCGCCAGACTAGAGGCGTCACGATTTATATAGACTGCCTCGACCAACGCCTACTACAATAGGCTACTGTAATCTACACTGAACAAAAATATAAACGCAACATGTAAAGTGTTCGTCCCATGTTTTATGAGCTGAAATAAAAGATCCCAGAAATGTTCCACATGCACAAAAATATGATTTCTCTCAAATGTTGTGCACAAATGTGTTTACATCCCTGTTAGTGAGCATTTCTCCTTTGCCAAAATAATCCATCCACCTGACAGGTGTGGCATACCAAGAACCTGATTAAACAGCATGATCATTGCACTGGTGGTCCTTGTGCTGGGGACAATAAAAGGTCACTCTAAAATGTGCAGTTTTGTCACACAACACAACTCCACAGATGTCTCAAGTTTTGATGGAGCATGCAATTGGCATGCTGACTGCAGGAATGTCCACCAGAGCTCTTGCCAGAGAATTTAATGTTCATTTATCTACCATAAGCCGCCTCCAACGTCACTTTAGAGAATTTGGAAGTACGTCCAACCAGCCTCACAACCGCACACCACATGTAATCACGCCAGCCCAGGACCTCCACATCTGACTTCTACACCTGCGGGATCGTCTGAGACCAGCCACCCGGACAGCCGATGAAACTGTGGGTTTGCACAACCAAAGCATTTCTGCACAAACTGTCAGGAACCGTCTCAAGGAAGCTCATCTGCGTGCTCATCGTCCTCACCAGGGTCTTGACCTGACTGCAGTTCGGCATCGTAACCGACTTCAGTGAGCAAATGCTCACCTTCGATGGCCACTGGCACGCTGGAGAAGTGTGCTCTTCACGGATGAATCCCGGTTTCAACTGTACTGGGCAGATGGCGTCGTGTGGGCGAGCAGTTTGCTGATGTCAACATTATGAACAAAGTGCCCCATGGTGGCGGTGGAGTTATGGTAAGGGCAGGCATAAGCAACGGACAACGAACACAATTGCATTTTATCTATGGCAATTTGAATGCACAGAGATACAGTGACAAGATCCTGAGGCCCATTGTCATGCCGTTCATCCGCCGCCATCACCTCATGTTTCAGCATGATAATGCACGGCCCCATGTCGCAAGGATCTGTACACAATTCCTGGGAGCTGAAAATTTCCCAGTTCTTCCATGGCCTGCATACTCACCAGACATGTCACCCATTGAGCATGTTTGGGATGCTCTGGATCGACTTGTAAGACAGCGTGTTCCAGTTCCCGCCAATATTCAGCAACTTCGCAAAGCCATTGAAGAGGAGTGGGACAACATTCCACAGGCCACAATCAACAGCCTGATCAACTCTATGCGAAGGAGATGTGTTGTGCTGTATGAGGCAAATGGTGGTCAATGTTGCATTCATATTTTTGCTTAGTGTAATTATTACAACTTGTTTATATCAAATTAAATCACATTTTATTTGCCACATGCGCCGAATACAACAGGTGTAGACATTACAGTGAAATGGTTACTTACAAGCCCTTAACCAACAATGCAGTTTTTAAGAAAAAAAAAGATTTAAAAAAAAGTGTTAAGTAAAAAATAGAAAAGAGCAAATAATTAAAGAGCAGCAGTAAAATAAAATAACAGTAGGGAGGCTATATACAGGGGGTACCGGTACAGGGTCAACGTGCGGGGGCACCGGTTAGTTGAGGTAATTGAGGTAGGCTTTGTTATGCCCTCTTCACGACTGTCTTGGTGTGTTTGGACCATGATAGTTTGTTGGTGATGTGGACACCAAGGAACTTGAAGCTCTCAACCTGTTCCACTACAGACCCGTCGATGAGAATGGGGGCGTGCTCAGTCCTCTTTTTTATCCTGTAGTCCACAATCATCTCCTTTGTCTTGATCACGTTGAGGGAGAGGTTGTTATCCTGGCACCACACTTCCAGGTCTCTGACCTCCTCCCTATAGGCTGTCTCATCGTTGTCGGTGATCAGGCCTACCACTTTTGTTTTGGTGGCAAACTTAACGATGGTGTTGGAGTCGTGCCTGGCCATGCAGTCATGGGTGAACACGGAGTACAGGAGGGGACTGAGCACGCACCCCTGAGGGGCCTCCGTGTTGAGGATCAGCGTGGCAGATGTGTTGTTACCTACCCTTACCACCTGGGGGTGGCCCGTCAGGAAGTCCAGGATCCAGTTGCAGAGGGAGGTGTTTAGTCCCAGGGTCCTTAGCTTAGTGATGAGCTTTGAGGGCACTATGGTGTTGAACGCTGAGCTGTAGTCAATGAATAGCATTCTCACGTAGGTGTTCCTCTTGTCCAGGTGGGAAAGGGCAGTGTGGAGTGCAATAGAGATTGTGTCATCTGTGGATCTGTTGGGGCGGTATGCAAATTGGAGTGGGTCAAGGTTTTCTGGGATAATGGTGTTGATGTGAGCCATGACCAGCCTTTCAAAGCACTTCATGGCTACAGACGTGAGTGCTACGGGTCGGTAGTCATTTAGGCAGGTTATCTTCATGTTCTTGGGCACAGGGACTATGGTGGTCTGCTTGAAACATGTTGGTATTACAGACTCAGTCAGGGACATGTTGAAAATGTCAGTGAAGACACTTGCCAGTTGGTCAGCGCATGCTCGGTGTACACATCCTGGTAATCCGTCTGGCCCTGCGGCCTTGTGAATGTTGACCTGCTTAAAAGTCTTACTCACTTCGGCTACGGAGAGCGTGATCACATAGTCATCCGGAACAGCTGATGCTGTCATGCATGCTTCGGTGTTGCTTGCCTCGAAGTGAGCAAAGAAGTGAATTAGCTCGTCTGGTAGGCTTGTGTCACTGCGCAGCTCACGGCTTTGCTTCCCTTTGTAGTCTGTAATAGTTTTCAAGTCCTGCCACATCCGACGAGCGTCAGAGCCGGTGTAGTACAATTCAGTCTTAGTCCTGTATTGACTCTTTTCCTGTTTGATGGTTCGTTGGAGGGCATAGCGGGATTTCTTATAAGCGTCCGGGTTAGAGTCCCGCTCCTTGAAAGCGGAAGCTCTACCCTTTAGCTCAGTGCGGATGTTGCCTGTACTCCATGGCTTCTGGTTGGGGTATGTACGTACGGTTATTGATGAAGCCAGTGACTGATGTGGTGTACTCCTCAATGCTATCGGAAGAATCCCGGAACATGTTCCAGTCTGTGCTAGCAAAACAGTCCTGTAGCTTAGCATCTGCGTCATCTGACCACTTTTTTATTAACCGAGTCACTGGTGCTTCCTGCTTTAGTTTTAGCTTATAAGCAGGAATCAGGAGGATAGAGTTATGGTCAGATTTGCCAAATGGAGGGCGAGGGAGAGCTTTGTACACATCTCTGTGTGTGGAGTAAAGGTGGTCTAGAGTTTTTTTCCCTCTGGTTGCACATTTAACATGCAACCATGGTTTATACTTATAGAGTGGTTTAAACCATATACATGGATTATAAAGTTACAACAAACTAATGTAGGCTAAATGAAAATGTGTCTAATTTTGTTGACTGTTTAGGCATTTTAGTTGGAAAAATAACATAAAAGTGCATTGCTTGACATCATATTGCTGATCATATCATGCCCCTTTCTGTATCATTTGAATTAATGGGAATAATGGACTTACAAGAAGTTATCATTAGACCTGTGACTACATTAATAAAAAAAGCATGCAAATTATGACATTTAGGGTCAGTTTAATAGGCACAGTTTAATAAGCCTGTTCATGGACTAAGAACCATGTTCAATGGAGATTCTCTATTGAAAGATCTACTTAGTCCAGGACTAGACTTAATCTATAACCGGGAAAACAGCTAAACATGCTTTAAACTGGTTTAAATCTAAAATAATATGTTGTCAACCAAAAGCCACTGATCTGAATGCACTTCTAGGTCTGTAACCTCAGCTCAGTTTCATCATAGGCCTACCTACGCAATGGATACACACGAAGGACACGGGACAATATCAATAGTGACATCTAGTGGCTTGAAATGGATACACAGCTATAACCTCATAAACATTGGCTGTTATCCACAATAGTTAGCGTCGCTTAAAAATGTCGTAAAATATTATTTAGACTGTTTATATGGAAAGAAAACACTTTAAACGATGCGAAACGAATAAAACAACACTTGATGAATCACTGAAAAGCATTCCTCGATTACTTTGGACTTCTCGCAGGCATCATAAGCGATTGCTCTGGCCTGGAGTCACATGTTCCGTTATTTTAATAAAAATGGCCGACGAGGTAAGGGAAACAAACACAGCTGCTGAGGAAAGCGACGTCAAAGAACAGGAATCCAAAGTTTTGGAAGTTATTCCAGACAGCCACCCTGTTGGCATTAGCAGCGATGAAGAGGCTCCAAAAGACAAACCGGCGACCGAGAGCAACTGGTCAACACCGATCCTGTCGCTAGCACGGAAGGCGACCGAGACGATCAGCAGTGGGGTTAGCTACGGTGCAGCTTTGAGAAACGCCAAATCGTCGGGATCTGCCGTGAGCTCTGCAACCAGTCCGACTAAACAAAACTCTACCGAGAATGACACACACACTAACCAATACCTACCAGGTACGTAGCAAGGTTGTTGTATTGCACGCCAATGTGGAAGCATATAAACTTACTAGGTAGTTAAGTGCTGAACCAGCGACTTCTCTCTTCTGCATCTCTGCTGTCATCAGCTGTCAACACAACACATGACTCCTGCCTGGCGAGGAAATCAGAGTGGCATACTTAAGCAATAAATATAGACTAACAGTCTATATTTATCCGTGGTCAAGTCTTGTTGTCCTTTTAAAAATTACTTTTGCACAGGAAATTCAGATTATGATCTCTCCCCCCCCTTTTTCTTGTTCTCTCCCCTCTATTTCTTGCGCCTCTCTTTTTCTCTCCTCTCTTAATTATTTTTTTCTTCTCTCTCCCTCTCTATTTGTAGCAGTGAAGGACCATATGGCTGTGGAGCGCTCCAACCTGTTCAGTATGATGAAGCTGAGTATTAAGGTCCTGATCCAGTCATCTCTGAGTCTGGGCAGAACCCTGGACTCTGACTACCCTCCTCTGCAGCAGTTCTTTGTGGTTCTGGAGCACTGCCTCAAACACGGACTGAAAGGTGAGACTTGCTCTAGAACAGGGGTGACAGGCCAACCCTCCGCCTGGAGAGCTACTAGGTGTGTTGCAGACTTTTGTCAGGGTCTTGATTAGCTGAATCAGGTGTGTTACTGCGGGGCTGGAGCGAAAGCCTGCACAACCAATTGCTCTCCCGTAGCAGAGTTGGAGACTCCAGTATTCCTGCGGCACTTATTCGTTTTGGCCCTTTGAAGAACACTACCTAAACATTCTCCTATCTTCTCTCTCTTTCTCTCTATGTAGTGAAGAAGTCATTCATCAATCAGAATAAGTCTATCTGGGGTCCTCTGGAGCTGGTTCAGAAGCTGTGTCCTGAGTCTACTGATATTGCCACCAGCGCCAGAGACCTGCCAGGGCTAAAGACTGGGTTGGGTCGGGCTCGGGCCTGGCTGCATCTGGCCCTGATGCAGAAGAAATTGTCTGACTACCTGAAAGCCCTGTTGGACCATAAGGACCTCCTGGGGTGAGTACAGCACAAGGCTCTGTTGCTAGAACTGAATCAGTGTAATAAACATGTAATACCGGTAAGCATTTTGTGTCCTATTCACTTTTACAGTAGTTATTGTATCTATCTTACAAAATCTTTCTGCCTCCTTCCTTCCACAGTGAGTTCTATGATCCAGGAGCGTTGATGATGGAGGAGGAGGGGACAGTGATAGGAGGGATGCTGGTGGGGCTAAACGTCATTGACGCTAACCTCTGTATCAAAGGAGAGGACCTGGACTCCCAGGTGGGGGTCATAGACTTCTCCTTGTACCTGAAGGACCCTATGACCACTGAGACCACTAAGGAGTAAGTACTATGTCTCTGCCTTTCCTCCCTCACCCCAAACACACTCCTCTGTTAATTTATGACTGTTCTCCTTTCCTCTAACCTCCTCCTCTCTTTCTTTCTCAGCAAAGATAAACCATCAACATAAACCACACTCCTCTCTCTGTTATCCTTTGTCTCTTCTCCTGTAACCTCTCCTTCTCTCCTCGCTGTCAGCGATGCTAAGATGACGGCCATATTGGACCAGAAGCACTACATTGAAGAGCTGAACAGACACCTGAGCTGCTCCGTCACTGACCTGCAGGCCAAGATGGACTCCATAGAGAAGACCAACAGCAAGCTCATTGAGGAGGTCAGAGGAGCTTATGAATGTGTTGTAATCCTTTGTAGTGTTTATTAAGCTAAAGATACGTTTTTTTGCATGGGCTGTGTCTCAATCTACTGCAGACCATGAGACATCCCGAAAATCGGTCTTCTCATGAAAACGTCAGTAGCGTCCGACCGGTTTGGCCTACAAAAACTATTATGACCCTTCTATGGAAAGGTGACTCTCACGAACACGATGGTGTTCTCCGTTTTGCTTTAAAACCCCACAAGCGTCACAAGACTTGTCTGAAATCGGTTCAGCCGATCTGCCAACTTCTGTCTGTAGCGTCCGAATAGTTTGGGCTACACACTAATATGACCCTTCTATGGAAAGGTAAGTTTCTCACAAACACGTACGTTTTGCTCTAGGACACCCACAAGCCTCACAAGACTAGTCTGAAGGTAGCTGGATACCAGGTTAAAACAATTATGGAAGTGTGTATATAGTTTAGTGCCTAAAATAAGGTGTTAAATACATGTCCCAATAACATAAAATGTTTCCTGATCTTTCTTATATCTATCAGATATAGGACAGACACTTCAGAACAAACTTCCTTTTGATAGTCAAAACAAAATATCTGTTTATCCATGTATGAAGCTATTATTCAATGTGTTTCTATGGGCTAAAAGCAGTAAGGCCAAATTCAATGTTTTTATCAAACTACTTTGATTAAGGCACAGGTGTCAAACTCATTCGATCCTCCCTTGTCTTTGATTGATGAATTAAAGTCACTAATTAGAAAGGAACTCCCCTCACCTGGTTGTCTTAGTAAGGAACTCCCCTCACCTGGTTGTCTAGGTCTTAGTAAGGAACTCCCCTCACCTGGTTGTCTAGGTCTTCATTGAAAGGAAAAAACAAAAACCTGCAGACCCTCGGCCCTCCATGGAATGAGTTTGACACTCCTTTGACACTTAGGGGTCCTAAAATTCAAAATCAAATAGCTAAAGTATCCTTGGTATGACCATCTTAAAACAATTCCATATGTTAGCTTAGTAGAACCCCCCCCCAAATGACTGTGTTATAATAACCATAGTTATCATGGGTGTCTTATAACCCTGTGTAGAGCTTATGTAAGTGTTATAACTAGAGATGTAACGATTCACTGATGCGCATCGGTCCCCAGTTCAAATGTTTAAGATATGTGCATCAGTCTGCAGGACACCAAACCGATCCAAATGTAACATGCATCGGTCAGAAAATCTATTCAAACGTACGAGTCGCCGGTTCACTAAAATGTTTTGTTCAAATTACTTTCTTTCTACCTTCTGAAAATTCCGTCACCGGTTTTTCTGAAATTCCGTTACCGATTTGGCAACGGAATTTCGAGTTTTAATCACTTAATAATTCATAAACAAAATTGATATCAATAAAAACACGAACTAATTGATAGGTCTACCGTTTCCGTTTTACCTCTGAACTTTCATTATTCACCCTTATCTTAAAACCCCTATCTTAAAGATATGTGGGTTTTTGGTAACGTAATTTCAAGGAAAAATGTATTCAAAACTAAATATAAGTGTTGATATTAGTAGGGGTCTTTACTTCAACAGTTATGTTTTGATGTATGTATAATACATGTTTTAATACTTTTTCTGGTAGATGTTTTCTAAGAAGACCCCCCCTTTCATTTTTGACCATAATCAAACCTTTGCTTATTCCTAATTTTTAAAAAATAGCATATGGCCTTCAATTACTCCAATATAAGACTCTAGCCTTCATTTGACAAACCCATATTGACACACTCCTAATGAACAATCATAGACGTTTTGTAATAAGCTGTTTTACATGATAGAAATAAAAAAAACTTTATACTATTCTAGGTATTTCTTAGAGGTAGGGTTTCAAATGTCTCCGGAAGGTGGTCAGTGAACAAAAATATAAACGCAACAATTTAAAAAGATTTTACTGAGTTACAGTTCATATAAGGAAATCAGTTCATTTGAATAAATTAATTAGGCCCTAATCTATGGATTTCACATGACTGGGAATACAGATATGCATCTGTTGGTCACAGAACTTTTTTATTTTACATTTTAGTAGGCGCGTGGATCAGAAAATCAGTCAGTATCTGGTGGGACAATCATTTGCCTCATGCAGCGCGACACATCTCCTTCGCATAGAGTTGATCAGGCTGTTGATTGTGGCCTGTGGAATGTTGTCCCACTCCTCTTCAATGGCTGTGCGAAGTTGCTGGATATTGTTGGGAACTGGAACACACTATCGTACATATCGATCCAGAGCATCCCAAAGATGGTGACATGTCTGGTGAGCATGCAGGCCATGGAAGAACTGGGACATTTTCAGCTTCCAGGAATTGTGTACAGATTATTGCGACATTGGGCCGTGCATTGGCTTCCAGGAATTGTGTACAGATTGTTGCGACATTGGGCCATGCATTATCATGCTGAAACATGAGATGATGATGATAATAATAATAATAATAATATGCCATTTAGCAGACGCTTTTATCCAAAGCGACTTACAGTCATGCGTGCATACATTTTTGTGTATGGGTGGTCCCGGGGATCGAACCCACTACCTTGGCGTTACAAGCGCCATGCTCTACCAGCGGAGGTGAGGGTGGCGGATGAATGGCACGACAATGGGCCTCAGGATCTTGTCACGGTATCTCTGTGCATTCAAATTGCCATCGATAAAATGCAATTGTTTGTTGTCTGTAGCTTAAACCATAACCCCACCGCCACCATGGGGCACTCGGTTCACAACGTTGACATCAGCAAACTGCTCGCCCACACAACGCCATCTGCCCGGTACAGTTGAAACCGGGATTAATCCGTGGAGGGCACACTCCAGCTTGCCAGTGGCAATCGAAGGTGAGCATTTGCCCACTGAAGTCGGTTACGACGCCGAACTGCAGTCAGGTCAAGACCCTGGTGAGGATGACGAGCACGCAGATGAGCTTCTCTGAGACGGTTTCTGACAATTTGTGTAGAAAGTCTTCGGTTTTGCAAACCCACAGTTTCATCAGCTGTCCGGGTGGCTGGTCTCAGACGATGTGGAGGTCCTGGGCTGGCGTGGTTACACGTGGTCTGCGGTTGTGAGGTCGGTTGGACATACAGCCAAATTCTCTAAAACGACGTTGGAGGTGGCTTATGGTAGATAAATTAACATTCAGTTGTCTGGCAACAGCTCTGGTGGACATTCCTGCATTCAGCATGCCAATTGCATGCTCCCTCAACTTGAGACATCTGTGGCATTGTTTTGTGACAAAACTGCACATTTTAGAGTGGCCTTTTATTGTCCCCAGCACAAGGTGCATCTGTGTAATCATGCTGTTTAATCAGCTTCTTGATATGACACACCTGTCAGGTGGATGGATGATCTTGGCAAAGGAGAAATGCTCACTAACAGGGATGTAAACACATTTGTGCACAACATTTGAGAGAAAGAAGCTTTTTGTGCATATGGAAGATTTCTGGGATTTTTTATTTCAAATCAAATCAAATTTTATTGGTCACATGCGCCGAATACAACAGGTGCAGACATTACAGTGAAATGCTTACTTACAGCCCTTAACCAACAGTGCATTTATTTTAAACAAAAAAAGTAAGAATAAAACAACAACAAAAAAAGTGTTGAGAAAAAAAGAGCAGAAGTAAAATAAAGTGACAGTAGGGAGGCTATATATACAGGGGGGTACCGGTGCAGAGTCAATGTGCGGGGGCACCGGCTAGTTGAGGTAGTTGAGGTAATATGTACATGTGGGTAGAGTTAAAGTGACTATGCATAAATACTTAACAGAGTAGCAGCAGCGTAAAAAGGATGGGGTGGGGGGGCAGTGCAAATAGTCCGGGTAGCCATGATTAGCTGTTAAGGAGTCTTATGGCTTGGGGGTAGAAGCTGTTGAGAAGTCTTTTGGACCTAGACTTGGCACTCCGGTACCGCTTGCCGTGCGGTAGCAGAGAGAACAGTCTATGACTAGGGTGGCTGGAGTCTTTGACAATTTTGAGGGCCTTCCTCTGACACCGCCTGGTATAGAGGTCCTGGATGGCAGGGAGCTTTGCCCCAGTGATGTACTGGGCCGTACGCACTACCCTCTGTAGTGCCTTGCGGTCAGAGGCCAAGCAGTTGCCATACCAGGCGGTGATGCAACCAGTCAGGATGCTCTCGATGGTGCAGCTGTAGAATTTTTTGAGGATCTGAGGACCCATGCCAAATCTTTTTAGTCTCCTGAGGGGGAATAGGCTTTGTCGTGCCCTCTTCACGACTGTCTTGGTGTGTTTGGACCATGATAGTTCGTTGGTGATGTGGACACCAAGGAACTTGAAGCTCTCAACCTGTTCCACTACAGCCCCGTCGATGAGAATGGGGGCGTGCTCAGTCCTCTTTTTTTTCCTGTAGTCCACAATCATCTCCTTTGTCTTGGTCACGTTGAGGGAGAGGTTGTTGTCCTGGCACCACACGGCCAGATCTCTGACCTCCTCCCTATAGGCTGTCTCATCGTTGTCGGTGATCAGGCCTACCACTGTTGTGTCGTCGGCAAACTTAATGATGGTGTTGGAGTCGTGCCTGGCCATGCAGTCATGGGTGAACAGAGAGTACAGGAGGGGACTGAGCACGCACCCCTGAGGGGCCCCCGTGTTGAGGATCAGTGTGGCAGATGTGTTGTTACCTACCCTTACCACCTGGGGGCGGCCCGTCAGGAAGTCCAGGATCCAGTTGCAGAGGGAGGTGTTTAGTCCCAGGATCCTTAGCTTAGTGATGAGCTTAGAGGGCACTATGGTGTTGAATGCTGAGCTGTAGTCAATGAATAGCATTCTCACGTAGGTGTTCCTCTTGTCCAGGTGGGAAAGGGCAGTGTGGAGTGAAATAGAGATTGCATCATCTGTGGATCTGTTGGGGCGGTATGCAAATTGGAGTGGGTCTAGGGTTTCTGGGATTATGCTGTTGATGTGAGCCATGACCAGTCTTTCAAAGCACTTCATGGCTACAGACGTCAGTGCTACGGGTCGGTAGTCATTTAGGCAGGTTATCTTAGAGTTCTTGGGCACGGGGACTATGGTGGTCTGCTTGAAACATGTTGGTATTACAGACTCAGTCAGGGACATGTTGAAAATGTCAGTGAAGACACTTGCCAGTTGTTCAGCACATGCTCGGAGTACACGTCCTGGTAATCCGTCTGGCCCTGCGGCCTTGTGAATGTTGACCTGCTTAAAAGTCTTACTCACATCGGCTACGGAGAGCGTGATCACATAGTCATCCGGAACAGCTGGTGCTCTCATGCATGCTTCAGTGTTGCTTGCCTCGAAGCGAGCATAGAAGTGGTTTAGCTCGTCTGGTAGGCTTGTGTCACTGGGCAGCTCGCGGCTGTGCTTCCCTTTGTAGTCTGTAATAGTTTTCAAGCCCTGCCACATCCGACGAGCGTCAGAGCCAGTGTAGTATGATTCAATCTTAGACCTGTATTGACTCTTTGCCTGTTTGATGGTTCGTCGGAGGTCATAGCGGGATTTCTTATAAGCGTCCGGGTTAGAGTCCCGCTCCTTGAAAGCGGCAGCTCTACCCTTTAGCTCAGTGCGGATGTTTCCTGTAATCCATGGCTTCTGGTTGGGGTATGTACGTACGGTCACTGTGGGGACGACATCATCGATGCACTTATTGATGAAGCCAGTGACTGATGTTGTGTACTCCTCAATGCCGTCTGAAGAATCCCGGAACATGTTTCCAGTCTGTGCTAGCAAAACAGTCGCTGTAGCTTAGCATCTGCGTCATCTGAACCACTTTTTTTTATTAACCTGAATCACTGGTGCTTCCGGCTTCAGTTTTTGCTTATAAGCAGGAATCAGGAGGATAGAGTTATGGTCAGATTTGCCAAATGGAGGCAAATGTATGTACATTGGACCAACACTTTTACATGTTGCATTTTATATTTTTGTTCACAATACATCATTTACTTACACACACACAGTCCGTTCAGACAGATCCAGCTCAGAGGCCCAGCTCATGAGCTCCATCAGCAGCAGATTTGAATTTAGAATGGAAAATGAATAGATGTGAAATATAACCCTATGTAGTTGTTATGGATGTGAAATATAACCCTATGTAGTCGTTATGGATGTGTTATAAACCTATTGTCCTTATAGCTGTGTTTTAACTAGGGCTGTCGAATGATTCAAAAAGAGGTAATTGCAGGATTTGCTGTGATTAATTGCAAATTCCGAATTTGCTCAGTGGGAGCTGTAATTGAAGATATTTCATACAAAAAACATTAAAATAATATTGACGTCTTGATTTTGTGTAAAGTAACGGTTAGCAAAATTAGGTAAATTGAGAAAAGCACACTTTCTTTAACCTCAATGTTAACTTGTTTTTACATGGCATTGTAGATTTTAGCTGTATAGATTATGTATTTTTATGTTTTCAGTGTATTTTAACGCTCAGACAATGCGATTTAATCACACACACACAAAAAAATCATGCTTATGGATATGTTATAACCCTACATAGTGCTTATGGATGTGTTATAACCCTACATAGTGCTTATGGATGTGTTATAACCCTACAGCTGACGGCAGCGACAGACAGGATTAACTCTTTACAGGAGGAACAGGAAACACTGAGACATGAGAATGAGACCATCGTCCAGAGCAGCCAGAAGAAAGAGGAGGTCAGGACACTCCCACTTCCTATGCATCTGCAACCGTTTTCAGTCTGTGTGACTGTCATCGAAGTCAGACAATATGAAGAGCTGGCATTTCACGTCCTGTTTGGTTTCCTAGGCGACCCTGGAGGACAGCGCAGTAGAGCTGGAGACATACAGACAGACACGGCAGGGCCTGGATGAGATGTACAGCGTGGTATGGAAACAGTACCAGGAGGAGAAACGCATCAGACAGGTGTGTGAAACAGTGAGATGAACAACTAGCTCTACATTTCTTTGAGATCCTAGCCAACTAACACATCTGTGTTATACTGCCTCTACAATAGGTGTGTATGTTCCTGTACCTTTGTTCCTCTGTGTGTGTGTGTGTGTGTGTAGGAGTTGGAGCGGGAGTTGGAGCTGCAGGTAGGACTAAAGCAGGAGATGGAGATGGCCATGAGGCTGCTGGAGAAAGACACACATGAGAAACAGGACACACTGCAAGCCCTCCGACAACAACTAGACCAGGTCAAAACCCTCAACCTGCAGATGTTCCATAAGGCAGAGGTAACACACATGGACACAGAGACTGATATACACGGACAGATATACACAGACACGCGCTCAAGCAAACATGAAATGCACACATACTCTCTCACTTACTTAGCAACACCCTTGTGAGTACACACCTCTTGACAGAATGTGTGTGCAGGACTGTGAGAGTGATGCCCAGAGGAAGCAGGAGGAGGTGGGACAACTGGAGGAGAAGATGAACCAGATGGAGACTACCATTAAGGAGATGGAGCAGAGGTGTTTGTGTGTGTGGTGCAGAGTGGTTTCATAATGGTTTCCGTGTTTTAACATGATTGAATACTAATTGTAGCCCATGTATTTTCAGACTGCAGAACTCGGAGCGTGATCGCAGACAAAGTGACCAGACAGACAGAGACATGAGGACAGAGCTGGAGGGCAGAGTAGACTCCCTACAGAAACAGCTGTCTGACCTGGACACACTGAGGTACGTATGGACACACACACACACACACACACACACACACACACACACGTTGTGACCCACACCACCCTGTCTCTCTAGGCTGGGTCTGGAGAGTGATCTGCGCAGTGAGAAGGAGCAGAGACAGGCCATTCAGAGAGCTCTACAGAGAGAACAGGACAACAGCACTGAGCTACGCACCCAACTACAACAGATACAGGGGCTACACATGGTCAGTGACACACACAGACACACAGAAAAGAGAAGTCCACCTCCCATTTTTCTTCTGAGCTTGTTTCTGTGTGTTTCTAGGAGCTGCAGGATGTTCGTCAGGAGAAGAAGCAGCTCCAGCAGACCTGTCAGGAGCAGGAGACAGCCTTACAGGAGATGGGCCTACACCTCAGCCAGTGAGTACTATACTAGACAGCCTTACAGGAGATGGGCCTACACCTCAGCCAGTGAGTACTGTACTAGACAGCCTTACAGGAGATGGGCCTACACCTCAGCCAGTGAGTACTGTACTAGACAGCCTTACAGGAGATGGGCCTACACCTCAGCCAGTGAGTACTGTACTAGACAGCCTTACAGGAGATGGGCCTACACCTCAGCCAGTGAGTACTGTACTAGACAGCCTTACAGGAGATGGGCCTACACCTCAGCCAGTGAGTACTGTACTAGACAGCCTTACAGGAGATGGGCCTACACCTCAGCCAGTGAGTACTGTACTAGGCACACTCCTAATCCTGCTCTTTACATCTCTCTCTCTTCTCTTCCTTCCTGTGTTCCATCTGTTTTGTCTTTGTATGACACATCTCTCTCGTAGGTCTAAACTGAAGATGGAGGACTTCAAAGAGGTCAATAAAGCCCTCAAGGTAACATGTTCTCTGGCCTAAATTAACACTTCCCCTTTCCTCTAGCTCTCCGTTACACCAAAGCTGTGTTCAAATACTCATACTAACCGTACTATTTGTGAGGTAAATTGAGTGTATAGTATGCTTATTGGTCATAGTATGGATATAGTTAGTATGCCAAAAGTTCCCGGATGTCATACTACATTCGCCAAAATACGAAGTATACAAGCAGTGGACCAATAATGCAATTATTCCGAAAATGGGCGTGGCTTCACAACGTTTTCAGATTTGAAGAAAATGGCGGAAAATATGCAGCCGAAGTCCAACGAGAGTGGATACATATTCATTGCTTTAACTAATTATGACAAATGTTTAGAAAATGTTGAGCAATATAATAAAGTCATGACTTTTCAAATAAGTTACCTTACACGTTATTTTGTCTGACAATTTGTTAGTTACGCTATCCTTACGAACCGCATATCATTACAGCAGTATGTACCGGTATGTTAGTTGGCGAATACATCGAACTTGCCAGTATATTAACTATATGCTATCTAACTACCCAACGTTTATTGACTTGATTATTCATGTCATTCTTAGTTTAGCTAAGTGGTATAGTCGTTGTGCGTTTTCAATGGACATTCGGGTGCGTTCGTAAATAAGCTCTGGCTATCTACTCCGATTTCTGAGCACTCTCGTCTGAGTGTACCTGTGCCAGAGCGCAGCATAACTGCTGAATTTACGAACGCTCAACACCAGTTGAATTTGGCCGGTGTCTGTAAACGTCGGCAAAAAAGCGTCATTAAATTGTTGCCAGCAGCTAGTCATTTGTTATGCTAGCAAGAGGTTGCATATCAACAGCATCAACTTCCGGTAGACAGGCGAAGCGCTAGTATGCTCAACTGAAAGGATACGGTTCGTTTACAGTATACTAAAATGAACTAATAGTATACAGTATGTTAGTATGGCTATTCGAACACCGCTCAAGTCTCTATGGAGTTTGTTCTTCACTAGTAGACTAGACATAGGCACTCACCGCTGGTCATAGGGTCCTTCAGGTACAAGGAGAAGTCTATGACCCCCACCTACACAACACAGACACTCACTCATTTCTGTAATAATTTGTGATTGAGCATTGTTGTCTGTCCGTGTCCATCAGGGCCAAGCCTGGCTGAAAGACAACGAGGCTACACAGTGTAAACAGTGTCAGAAGGAGTTCTCCATCGCTCGCAGAAAGGTAAAGCTCTGTCCATCCATCTCTTCGGTCTTTCCTTCAGTTGTGGACTCTGGTCTGTGGCAGATGTAGAGAAAGATTTATACTGAACAAAAATATAAACGCAACGATTTCAAAGTTACAGCTCATATAAGGAAATCTGTCAATTTAAATGAATTAATTAGGCCCTAATCTATGGATTTCACATGACTGGGTAGGGGCGCAGCCATGGGTGGGCTTGGAGTGAACAGGCCCACCCATTTGGCAGCCAGGCCCATCCAATCAGAATGAGTTTTTCCCCACAAAAGGGCTTTATTACAGACATAAATAGTCCTCAGTTTCATCAGCTGTCTGGTGGCTGGTCTCAGATGATCCCACAGGTGAAGAAGCCAGATGTGGAGGTCCTGGGCTGGCGTGGTTACACGTGGTCTGCAGTTGTGAGGCCGGTTGGACGTACTGCCAAATTCTCTAGAACGACATTGGAGGCAGATTATGGTATAGAAATGAACGTTCAATTCTCTGCCAACAGCTCTGGTGGACATTCCTGCAGTCAGCATGCCAATTGCGCACACCCTCAACTTGAGACATCTGTGGCATTGTGTTGTGACAAAACGGCACATTTTAGAGTGGCCTTTTGTCCCCAGCACAAGGTGCACCTGTGTAATGATTGTGCTGTTTAATCAGCTTCTTGATATGCCACCTGTCAGGTGGATCAATTATCTTGGCAAAGGAGAAATGCTCACTAACAGGGATGTAAACAAATTTGTGCACAAAATTTGAGGGAAATAATCATTTCTGGGATCTTTTATTTCAGCTAATGAAACATGGGACCAACACTTTACATGTTGCGTTTATGTTTTTGTTCGGTGTATAAATGCCTTTGAATGAAATGCTCTCATTTGCCACAAATGTTACTAACAGTTATACTTGGACATCCTGTGTAGCTCAGTTGGTAGAGCATGGCGCTTGCAACGCCAGGGTTGTGGGTTCGATTCCCACGGGGGACCAGTATGAAGATGTATGCACTCTAACTGTAAGTCGCTCTGGATAGTGGCGTCTGCTAAATGACTAAAATGTAAATTTAGTATGTGGGTTTTTTTCTCCTTGTCTGCAGCACCACTGTAGGAACTGTGGAGATATCTACTGCAACAGTTGTTCTAGTAATGAGTTGGCCCTGCCCTCCTACCCTCGACCTGTACGGGTCTGTGACATCTGCCACTCCCTACTGCTGCAGAGGAGCACCTCTTCCACCACCTCCTGACACACAAGCAGACCCTCATACATACTCTCTCCTTCTCACACAAGCAGACCCTCATACATACTCTCTCCTTCTCACGCAAGCAGACACGCTCACACGTTTCACTCATAATCTTTCTTTCTTCCCTCACTCGCAAGTCATTGCAGTGATCTAGGCTACTGTGCTCAAAGCCCACAGTACTCTTGGTCATTGAGAACACATTTTAATCAAATTTGAGCAGGAACAGTGGATTTGGTGTGATCTATAATATTTATAAAGTTCTGTTTCGCCACTTACCTGAAATTCAGGATCTTTGGCACGGTTTACTTTTGAACTGTAGAGGGTTCTATCCACTTCTTGATTTGGGCTAATACTGCCTTCTCTCTTTTAAACTCATCTGGGGGGATTTCACAAAGTAAGCTCACTAAAGAATACAATGAGTCAGCCAGCTAATTGTCATAATGTTATGAACTAACTCCATTCCCAGTTATACTCCATATACCCTCTAGGATGCTGAATTTAAAGGATAGTTGTAGTTGAAGGGAGCCACAGGGTATTGGAACAGGCATCAGTATTTGTTGTACTATGAATGACCAAATATGCAACCATGTCACAATTGCGGGAAAATGTTAGACGAACTGACCTTCAATAATAGCATTGAATTGAAATAGTTCAAGAAAACCAACGTTGATTCGCTTTATTATAGTAATTTAAATCAGGAGTCTTAAATTTAGCTTTGAAAAGGTCTTAGAGGCGATTGTATAGATTCACGATTCTTTCACTTCCAGTGAAGCAAAGGAACAGTTATTTTCTGTTCATCTCAACCTGCCTAGCTGAATAATTGTGGATTTATTAGACCCAGGTCTTTTTTTTATTGTAAATGACTACAGAATGTTCTTAACACATTAAGATGTCTATTTTAGAATGTATAGAATTATCATTTTGTGCATTGATTGTGACCAGTGCTACTAAACTGCCATTTTCTGACGAATTATTGGGGCATGTTTTCTATCTAGATATTTGATAGATATCTAATTTAATAAAAACGTATCTGAATGTGTTTCTTCTTAACTGTATAGGAAACTACTCACCTAAAACAAGACAAACGACATATCCAGCTTAAAATTGTATTCACTCTTGTGCACCTTAAAAAAAAAAAAAATCTGCATAGGCAGTAGAAAGAAACCTTTAACAGAAAAACGTAAGGTTTGTTTGCCAACTAAATAAGTAAAGTATCCATCCCTCATGGAGAATTCCCCCCAACCCCTCCCATAACAATCACTTCAATATAAAACAAACTCAAACATGCTCTTTGTTCACCATGTAAAATGTCAACTACACACACCATTATTTTAACATTGTTTCAGACTTTGACAGAAAGGCTAGATATTTTTGCAGCTACTGGAGAAAAGACTAGCAACATCTAGAATACTATTTACAGAAGTGTGTTGGTTCATACACTGAGATATAACAGTCAGGTGGGGTCAATTACATTCAACGCTTTTCAATTATGAAAATGTACAATTGGAATTTGGTTTACTTTCTGCATTGACTGGAATTTAAATCGAATTTACCCCAACCCTGCAGTCAGTCACTTCATGGTCAAATAAAAGCTCAGGTCAACGTAAGGTGAGCTACTGTGGGTAACAGAAACAGACTGGGTCATAATCACAGTTGGTTGTTTTGAATCTTCGTTAAACACCATGTAGCGGTATTGTTAGAGGGCAGCGTACGGTGAAGGCTCCGTGCAGGATTTCTCCACAACCAAAACAACACACACTTCCTGGTAACGATGATGAAACAACCAATCCGCCCATGGTCATAGTTTGTGTTCCAACAGTACCGTACAGTTTGTATTGCTGCAGTCATGTCATTAACAACAGTAGGAGAGGATGGAAACAAAAAGTCTAATTTCTACCAACCTAACTTCAAAGGAGCCTCAATCATGAATACAATCAGCATAAAACAAAACATTTCCCAACCCTCACTATAAATCGGCTCAGAACTACAATACCCATCCAAAAGACCAGGTGAGAACTACAATTCAGTCCTTCCAGCCAAACACATGCTGGGTTAAAGAACTACATCCCCCATCCTGACCCCAGGCCATTGGAACTCCTGCCTCCTCCGCCGCCGCCATAGTAACTGCTGCTCATACCGTCCTGGTTACCTGACAGGAGAGAGATACACACTATAGGACCGAGGAGTTCACACAGGCTAAAGCTTGATAGTTTGGGTCATACGTAGATACATACACATCAAGGCTGGTCAACAGTGGTGGAGGTACATGTGAACAGGTGTATGTGTTTTACAGAGCTGATACTCACTATAATCACTGTAACCTCCCATGCTGCCCTGGCCGCTGTAGCCTCCAGAGTATCCAGAGCTCAGCCCTCCACTGCTATAGGAGGACTGGCTCCCCATACCCCCCTGCATCGGACTGCCATACGAGCCATTACTGCCCCCTGCTGTAGAGTTCAGGAATAGCTCCACATAGCGGTGCTCTGCAGGACAGACAGATTGTTAGTACTTAATCATTTTAAGGTAAGAAAATAAGGAGGGAAGGCTGGGGAGGAGGAGGGGAAGAAGGAGGGATTATGGGGAGGAAGGTTTTTAGAGTGCCTTTCATAATGGTGGTGGCCGGCAAAAAATTAATAAAAATCTAACACAGATTAATTTAAAAAAAGAAGAGCAGACTCACGCATGTTGGCCTTGTCCTTCGACATGGCTGCCACGGCGTCCTCATGTGTAGCAAACTCCACGTCAGCCTCTCCTGTCACTCTGCCGTCAGGACCGATCTCTACATGCACTCTCACTGGGTTCAGAGGAGAAAAGAACTACGGAGAGAGAGAGAGCAGGACGTTATAGTCACTGTCTCACACAGACCATTCTTAGGAAGAGATCCTATAACTCACATTGTAGATGTCGGTCTCTGTGGCTCTGTAGGGCAGACCCCTCATGTGAACACAGTGACCCGTAGTGCTCTGGAAGGAGGAGCTACTATCACCGTACCTCCCATCAGACACACCTGAAGTTAGACACACACACCTTAGTTACAGAGACTGGTCTGGGACATGGAGACATATCATACCATACCCATTTCCCAAGGGGGGCCAGTATGAAAAAAAATAAAATAATAATAATAATGTATGCACTCACTAACTGTAAGTCGCTCTGGATAAGAGCGTCTGCTAAATGACTAAAAATGTAAATGTAAATACCGTCTCTCATCATGATAGAAATGTGCATAGAGTGCTAGGAAGAGCATGACTAGGAGACCATCATGTTATGATCCATAGTCATGACCCCTTTGACTGATAATGGTTCCCAATTAATCCATTCAGATAAACAAAAACAAACAGTATCTTCTTACACTGTGCAGACATTACACACACACACACACACACCTCCACCATAGCCTCCGCGTCTAGCCCTGTCGTAAGAGCCTCCTCCTCGGCCCCCCATCATGTTGTACCCACGGCCCCCAGACGGTCTGTCGTAGGGCCCCGGTCTCTGCATCCCCATAGGTTTCCTCTGGGGTTCGTAGTGGGTCCTCACCTCAGCACGGCTGCTCTTGAAGATCTCAATGTACCTGAGATACATACAGTACACACACCACCATGAAGACCGCACCACACACAGGAGGTGGCGGCTAGAGCTAGCTACTGTACAGCTCCAAAGGCTGAATGAATGTGTCTGTTCAAATGTAAAGGGTACCAATAAAGTTGGGTGTTCAATATGCAGGTGCTGAGCTGACATTTTTGTGTATTTGATTGTCATTGAGGGTACTGATAAAGTTGGGCTATTCAGGACAGGTGCTGCCATTGGCACTACTGCTCCATAGGTAGGTGAGTCTTGAACTATGTGAGACTTGATCTAGTGGGTAACAGTATACTGTGTAGTATGAGAGGGAAAAAATAAAGCCTTGACAGTACAACAGGCACTTTTCTTATGGTCACCTGCAGGTACCCGATACAGTTAACATTGATGTTACAGTACAATCTGTGTCCTGTTACATTGTGTCCCTGTCGTGGTCATTGTCCTGTTGTTATCCATGGAGACCCACTCTCTGAGCATTACCTGTGAGTGAGTGGGCGGGGTCCGTGTCCTCGTGTTGATTGGCCCTCAGTGAGTTAGAACACCTGGGAGAATCCTGTCTGTCTATTGGCTACCTGTACTGATGTTTAGTGCCCAGGAACCAATCAGCTTCACTCTTAAGAATCAGTGTAAAATGGATATGCCCAAATTCAACTACAATGTTTACTCTGCACTCTCAACCAAACTTGGTGACGAACCTGAGAGCTTACAAGACACCTCGGCACTAAACTCAGAATATGAACTATCTCCCAATGGTTTTAGAACAAGAGAATGTGCTTCATTTTCCCAAAGACTGCTGTGAGTGAATGAATGATTGAGTGTGTTCTGATCTAATATTGTAACTGTGTCTTTACAGTCAATACCTGAGTATGTGTTGTCTTAAATGAACTGTTCTGTTGAGTGTCAGTCAGTGATACGTATGGTTAATGTTTGTAAGTTGTACACCATAAGAAAAGCAACTTTATCCAGCCAACCAACCAACCATCCCCACCTGTGCCCTATTCTTTCCTTGTGTTTCTTTAGAGCCTTTTCAGCTATATCCTGTGAAGCAAACTGCACGAAGGCCTCCCCCGTACTCCTCCCCTGGAAGTCCAGCGGCAATGTAATCCCATTTGGCACGATTTCCAACCCTTCAACCCAAGGACAGATAACCCCAGTGGGGGACACAGTAAATCACATGCCCAGTTACAGAAAGATAGCTTTCTCTATTGTTGCTTTATTTATTTTGTATGATAGATAGATTTTTTAAAAAAAGAGAGATATAATGAAAACTATGCATTATGACATGTACTGTACATACCAGGTGAGTGTTTTTAACCAATGAGACTCAGTGACCATTCAGGCTACTTACTTTTACTGCATTTGGGGGAACATAAAGGAGGGTGAGAGGAGATAGGAAAGAGCGGAGAGAGAGACAGAGAGAGAGAGACAGAGAGAGAGAGAGAGAGAGAGAGAGAGAGAGAGAGAGAGAGAGACAGAGAGACAGAGAGACAGAGAGAGAGAGAGAGAGAGAGAGGAGGATACAGCAGAGGAAGAGACTGTAGGTGTGAAGGAATGAAGAGGAGTGGCTCTGGCAGTACTTGTGTTACCTTTAGTACCCATCCATTTTATAATTGTCCCAATGGGATGAATGACATCTTTGTTATGATATAGTGGGTTCAGGGGAAAACACCAAAGGACAACTGTCAATGAAAAGTGACATAGGGGACTAGCATGTCAGGCCCGATTGGCCAAATTATTGTACAGAATAATTCATTTTTAAAAAGTGTTGGTTGGGACCAAAGCAGTGATAGAGAAACTTAGGTGATGGGGGAAATCCTGGACAAACTATAGCCTGTATAATGTGAGTCGCTCTGGATAAGATCGTCTGCTAAATTACTGAAAATGTTTTATTATCCTGGATCATTGATGAGGGCTGAGGACGGTTTACCTACTCCTACAGGATATTATGGGGGTGTTCATCAACCAGTGGGAGCTAGCTACTGGTACCTGAGAGGAACTGGACGATCTCCTCCTTGCTGCAGCCGAAGGGGAGGCCTCGGAGCCTGACCAGGCCGTCTCCAGTCGTCTCTGGGCAGTTTGGACCAGAATGTTTCATCACCCAGTCCATTTCCACATTGTTGGATTTGAACACTGAGAACAAACAAGTCAACACATACAGACCTAAGTCACTACTGATAGTGCTACACAATGTAAATGGCTGAGAACTGTAGCCTAAAGTGAAGTCCCAAGGCACATATTATGCTCCTGCTGCGAAACATTGAAACTTCAGGAAGACTTTGATATGCCCAAATTCAACTGCAATTTTTTCGTCAACCAAACTTGTTGACGAACCTAAGAGCTTACAAGACACCTTGGCACTAAACTCAGAATATTAACCATATCTCCCAATGGTTTTAGAACAAGAGAATGTGCTTCGTGACACACAAACACAGAGACACAGAGCGACACACACACACACACCTTCAACATATCTGTGGCCCATGGTTTCTCTGTTCTTCTTCACAGCGATCTTCAGGTCATCCTCATTCTCCAGCTCAACGAAAGCCTCTCCGCTGGGTCGGCCCTCACGTGTGGAGGTAAAATGGATGCTGGTGCCATTGTTGGCGATTTTACAATCTATATGCCAAGAAGTGTGTAGAGGGACTCACAGTTATCGCAGATGTCAGAGGTGTAGGTTATAAAGGTGTTGTTCCAAGCTATACAGGTTTTATCGTAAAGGAGTTATTACCTGAGAAGAACCTCTGTACTTCATCCACAGAGCAGGACCATGGTAGGCCTCTCACACGCACCACGTAACCCTCTCCATCAGACATGGTTGGTATTCTTTTAAACCTGAGGAAAGTAAAGAAGCATACCGGTACAGTATGTTTGTAATGCTTAGATAACGGTAGTTAACTAGCTAGTTACCTTTACTCATTTTACATTTTAGTCATTTAGCATACGCTCTTATCAAGAGCGACTTACAGTTAGTGAGTGCATACATTTTTCATACTGGCCCCCGTGGGAAACAAACACACAACCCTGGCGTTGCAAGCGCCATGCTCTACCATATGAGCTCAGTTAGCTACTTGGCTAATAATGTGTAACTAGTTAGCTAGTTACCCATCTACATTGTATTTTACTTTTAGGTAAGTGAATGCAGTTAGCTAATCATGTCTTGTAACGTTAGACATTTTAAATTGCTGCAAATTCCAGCTGGTAGCTATCTAACGTTAGGCTAACCACCGGCCAGCGCATTATGAATTTAGCTAGCACATTGTTGCTAGTAGCTAGCTAGTTATATAAGTTTAGCTGGCTAGCTAAATTCAGTATCATGAAACACACTATTTCATTTGCATATAACAAACTAGCTAGATTAAGTTAATGTGTCTAACGTTATTAGATCATAATAATTTCATCCTCACCGACAGTCAGACACAAATGGCAGGCCTTGCGTTAGCTAGCTAAGTTAGCGTTAACGTTCGCTACCTGGCTTGCTAGGTTGATCAAATTGGCTGACCTAAACAGCAGGCAAGGACTCACAGGATAAAAGGTATTATCACAAAACACATTCGTTGAAAAATAGACATAGCTACCTGCTAATTTGAATCCAGTGACAGTTTTATCACAACCAGGATTGCTAGTATAGCTAGCTGTATTTCGGTGTCAGGCCGGTCTGTTTCCGCTAACTAGCTCCAAGCTTGCCAACTAGGTCCACGCCCAACAAGTATGACGTAGCCTGCCTGTGGCCACATTTACTGAGGAAACAGTAAAGTGATACTAAACGTTACCAATAATGAAGATTTAACATTTCCATTGCTTTCCATTGCTCTTGAGAAACAATGCACTCTAAAACTAGAAATGTACATTTGAACATGAAAGGCCCAGTGCAGTCAAAATTCAGTTTTTCCTGTGTTTTGTATCATATTGTACAACAGCTGATGAAACTAACACTGTAAAAGTGTGATTTTTTTAAATAAATGTTATTTCCTGATAGTTGCTGCTTGAAAATACAATCTACACAGGACCTTCTAGTCAGCAGGTTTGCATGGGCGGGAGTTTCGGATTTCCATGGTGACATCACCATGCAGTAAATTGGTTAATAGACAATAACAAAATAATTCCAAACCTCTCTGCCAATGGGCAAATTCGATTATGCTGAGCCACGGGGCACCGGTCTACGGCCTGTGATGTGAATGGGCAAAAGCAGTGAGGGAGAAGCGCCCTTCAAATCAAATCACATTTTATTTGTCACATGCGCCGAATACAACAGGTGTAGTAGACCTTACAGTGAAACGCTTACTTACAAGCCTTAACCAACAATGCAGTTTTAAGAAAATTAAGTGTTATGTAAAAAATAGATAAGTAAAAAAATAAATAATAATAATAATAATAATAATAATTAAAGAGCAGCAGTAAAATAACAGTAGCAAGACTATATACAGTCGTGGTCAAAAGTTTTGAGAATGACACAAATATTAATTTTCACTAAGTCTGCTGCCTCAGTTTTTATGATGGCAATTTGCATGTACTCCAGAATGTTATGAAGAGTGATCAGATGAATTGCAATTAATTGCAAAGTCCCTCTTTGCCATGAAAATGAACTTAATCCCCCAAAAACATTTCCACTGCATTTCAGCCCTGCCACAAAAGGACCAGCTGACATCATGTCAGTGATTCTCTCGTTAACACAGGTGAGAGTGTTGACGAGGACAAGGCTGGAGGTCACTCTGTCATGCTGATTGAGTTAGAATAACAGCAGGCAGGTGTGAGTGCATCTGCACGCACAGTGAGGCGAATACTTTTGGAGGATGGCCTGGTGTCAAGAATGACAGCGAGGAAGCCACGTCTCTCCAGGAAAAACATCAGGAACAGACTGATATTGTGCAAAAGGTACAGGGATTGGACTGCTGAGGACTGGGGTAAAGTCATTTTCTCTGATGAATCCCCTTTCCGATTGTTTGGGGCATTCGGAAAAAAGCTTGTCCGGAGAAGACCAGGTGAGCGCTAGCATCAGTCCTGTGTCATGCCAACAGTAAAGCATCCTGAGACCATTCATGTGTGGGGTTGCTTCTCAGCCAAGGGAATGGGCTCACTCACAATTTTGCCTAAGAACACAGCCATGAATAAAGAATGGTACCAACACATCCTCTGAGAGCAACTTTTCCCAACCATCCAAGAACAGTTTGGTGACGAACAATGCCTTTTCCAGCATGATGGAGCACCTTGCCATAAGGCAAAAGTGATAACTAAGTGGCTCGGGGAACAAAACATCGAAATGTTGGGTTCATGGCCAAGAAACTCCCCAGACCTTAATCCCATTGAGAACTTGTGGTCAATCCAGAAGAGGCAGGTGGACAAACAAAACCCCACAAATTCTAACAAACTCCAAGCATTGATTATGCAAGAATGGGCTGCCATCAGTCAGGATGTGGCCCAGAAGTTAATTGACAGCATGTCAGGGTGGATTGCAGAGGTCTTGAAAAAGAATGGTCAACACTGCAAATATTTACTCTTTGCATAAACTTAATGTAATTGTCAATAAAAGCCTTTGACACTTATGGAATGCTTGTAATTATACTTCAGTATACCATAGTAACATCTGACAAAAATATCTAAAAACACTGAAGCAGCAAACTTTGTGAAGACCAATACTTGTGTCATTCTCAAAACTTTGACTACGACTCTACAGGGGGTACAGAGTCAATGTGCGGGGGCACAGGTTAGTCGAGGTAATTGAGGTAATATGTACATGTAGGTAGAGTGAAAGTGACTGTGCATAGATAATAAACAGAGAGTTGCAGCAGCGTAAAAGAGGGGGTGGTTGGGAGGGGGGGACAATGCAAATAGTCCGGGTAGCCATTTGATTAGCTGTTCATGAGTCTTATGGCTTGGGGGTAGAAGCTGTTAAGAAGCCTTTTGGATCTAGACTTGGCGCTCCGCTACCGCTTGCCGTACGGTAGCCGAGAGAACAGTCTATGACTAGGGTGGCTGGAGTCTTTGACAATTTTCTGGGCCTTCCTCTGACACTGCCTGGTATTGAGGTCCTGGATGGCAGGAAGCTTGGCCCCAGTGATGTACTAGGCCGTACACACTACCCTCTGTAGTGCCTTGCGGTCGGAGGCCGAGCAGTTGCCATACCAGGCAGTGATGCAACCAGTCAGGATGCTCTCGATGGTCCGGCTATAGAACTTTTTGAAGATCTGAGGACCCATCCCAAATCTTTTCAGTCTCCTGAGGGGGTGTGTTTGGACCATGATAGTTTGTTGGTGATGTGGACACCAAGGAACTTGAAGCTCTCAACCTGCTCCACTACAGCCCCGTCGATGAGAATGGGGGCGTGCTTGGTCCTCCTTTTCCTGTAGTCCACAATCATCTCCTTTGTCTTGATCATGTTGAGGGGGAGGTTGTTATCCTGGCACCACACGGCCAGGTCTCTGACCTCCTCCCTATAGGCTGTCTCGTCATTGTCGGTGATCAGGCCTACCACTGTTGCGTCGTCGGCAAACTTAATGATGGTGTTGGAGTCGTGCCTGGCCATGCAGTCATGGGTGAACAGGGAGTACAGGAGGGGACTGAGCACGCACCCCTGAGGGGCCCCTGTGTTGAGGATTAGTGTGCCAGATGTGTTGTTACCTACCCTTACCACCTTTAGTCCCAGGGTCCTTAGCTTAGTGATGAGCTTTGAGGGCACTGTGGTGTTGAATTCTGAGCTGTAATCAATGAATAGCATTCTCACATAGGTGATAATTTTGTCCAGGTGGGAAAGGGTAGTGTGGAGTGCAATAGAGATTGCATAATCTGTGGATCTGTTGGGGCGGTATGCAAATTAGAGTGGCTAGAAGTAATTTAGCTAGGCTCGTGTCACTGGGCAGCTCGTGGCTGTGCTTTCCTTTGTAGTCTGTAAAAGTTTGCAAGCCCTTCCACATCTGATGAGCGTCAGAGCCGGTGTAGTACGATTCAATTTTAGTCCTGTATTGACGCTTTGCCTGTTTGATGGTTCGTCAGAGGGCATAGCGGGATTTTTTATAAGCGTCCAGGTTAGAGTCCCGCTCCTTGAAAGTGGCAGCTCTACCCTTTAGCTCAGTGCGGATGTTGCCTGTACTCCATGGCTTCTGGTTGGGGTATGTACGTACGGTCACTGTGGGGACGATGTCATCGATGAACTTATTGATGAAGCCAGTGACTGATGTGGTGTACTCCTCAATGCCATTGGAAGAATCCCGGAACATATTCCAGTCTGTGCTTGCAAAACAGTCCTGTAGCTTAGCATCTGCGTCATCTGACCACTGGTGCTTCCTGCTTTAGTTTGTACTTGTAAGCAGGAATCAGGAGGATATAATTATGGTCAGATTTGCCAAATGGAGGGCGAGGGAGAGCTTTGTACACGTATCTGTGTGTGGAGTAAAGGTGTTTTTTCCCCCTCTGGTTGCACATTTAACATGCTGGTAGAAATGAGGTAAAACGGATTTAAGTTTCTCTGCATTAAAGTCCCTGGCCACTAGGAGCGCCGCCTCTGGATGAGCGTTTTCCTGTTTGCTCATGGCCTTATACAGCTCATTGAGTGTGGTCTTAGTGCCAGCATCGGTTTGTGGTGGTAAATAGACAGCTACGAAAAATATAGATGAAAACTCTCTTGGTAAATTGTGTCGTCACAGCTTATCATGAGATACTCTACCTCAGGTGAGCAAAACCTTGACACTTCCTTAATATTAGATTTCGTGCACCAGCTGTTGTTTACAAATATACACAGACCACCACCCCTTGTCTTACCGGAGGCCCCGATGCGTTCCTTCACGGATTATCGGAGGTGATTAAAGACGAGCTTGCAGCCCGGGAGCTGCCCCTGGACCTTGACTTCCTCATAGCCTTGACCATCCGGATCGCCACACAACCCGGATCCCCACACAACCCTTCTCCATTCCCATGGACGTCAGAGCATTGGATGGGCGCTCTATTGGCAGAGTCACCCAGACTACGTTTCCCATTAACTTGAGAGTGTCGGGTAATCACAGTGAGTCTATACAGTTCCTGCCCATTGAATCCCCTCATGCACCTGTGGTTTTGGGGTTTTCCTGGCTCCAGAGGCACAATCCTCTGATCGACTGGGCTACTGGTTCTATCCTGGGTTGGAGCCCGTTTTTCCATGCGCATTGCCTGAAGTCGGCGCTGCCTGCCCCGGGATGTCTTCCTGCGGGCTTGGGAAAACCCCAGGACGTCTCCGCAGTTCCCGTGGAGTACCAGGACCTCTGGGAGGTTTTCAGCAAGGCCCATGCCACCTCGCTTCCTCCGCATCGGCCATATGACTGCGCCATCAACCTTCTCCCGGGCACTACACCGCCTCGGGGGAGGCTTTATTCCCTGTCAGGTCTGGAGACCAAGGCGAAGGAGACGTATATTGAGGACTCCCTGGCTGCAGGGGGTATCCGTCCTGCTGCCTCCCCCGCCAGAGCAGGGTTCTTCTTTGTGGAGAAGGACAAAACCCTGCGTCCGTGTATCGACTACCGGGGCCTGAATGACATCACGATTAAAAACCGTTACCCGCTTCCACTTATCGCCTCGGCATTCGAGCCTCTCAAGGGGGCTACCATCTTCTCCAAGTTGGACCTACGGAATGCCTACCATCTGGTACGGATACGGGAAGGGGATGAGTGGAAAACCGCCTTTAATACGGCTAGTGGGCACTACGAATACCTGGTGATGCCATTCGGACTGACCA